AATTCCTGCTTCACAGAAAAGTCAGATATTCTAGACCTCTAGGCTGAAGATGGATGCCCCAACATTGCAGAGGAAACTTGAGTGACTGTCCAGGCAGCCAGATGTCTCTTTCATTCCTGTAGTTTTGAAAGTTATTTGCTCTGTACTTCCTGTTTACTCAGGTAATATTATATCCTTCTCAGGTCTTTGATGGGGTTGAAGATTAGATAGTTACAGTTTTGTTACCAGATTTAAAACAAACAAAAGAGTTGTAAAATGTATAAGGTTGAGAGACATAAAGGCTTAACTTATTTAGGAAAATGTTTTAAGGTCTAAAAAGATATTTCTAGGTTGGTAATACAAATTATGACAGAAAGTGAATTAAGTACAAAACTTTGTACTCACCAAGATAGGATAGATAATAGAGTACTTTCTCTGAAATTGACAAATACAAATGGACTGGACATTGTGAATGTAATTTTTACCTGATAATTGTTCTTATTATATATAGTTTTACTGTGTTAGAGTTAAACCCTTTCCTTTTTATTTAGACAAAAAGGGGGAAATGTTGTGGGGATATTTGTTTACACTGAAGGTGTGTCACTGTGGTTGGTTTAATAAAGAGCTGAATGACCAATAGCTAGGCAGGAGAGAATAGGCAGGACTTCTGGGCAGAGAGAGGAACTCAGGATCAATCTAGGCACGTGAGAGATGCCAGTGAAATACTGAAGAAGTTGAACATACAGTACAGATGAGAGGTAACTAAGCCATGTGGCAGAATGTAGATTAATAGAAACAGGTTAATTTAAGTTATAAGAGCTAGTTGGGAAAAAGCTTAAGCTAAGGACAAACTTATTTGTGAGCTGACAGCCCAAAGAGCACTTAAAAAGCATTCCATTGCTTTTCTAATCCACAGTCCCAAAGTCCATATTACTTCAAACAAAAACATGGTCCAGCCTATCACAGCAATACCTCAGTCCTGGTACCAACTTCTATCTTAGTAATGTTAGGTTTTCTATTGCTGTGAAGAGACATGGTGACCACAGCAACTCTTATAAAAGAAAATATTTAATTGAGGTGGCAGCTTACAATTTCAGACATTTAGACCATTACCATCATGGCAGGGAGCTGGCAGCTGCAGGTAGACATGGTGCTGGAGCAGGAGTTTTACATCTTGATATGCAGGCAATAGGAAGTGAACTGTCTCACTGGGTGTGGCTTGAGCATATATGAGACCTCAGAGCCCACCTCCACAGTGACATACTTCCTCCAACAAGGCCATTTTCTTTCAAATCACCACATCCATCAATGTATAAAAAAACATTTATCATGACCAAATGGGGTTTACCCAGAATTGCAGGATTAGTTCAACATTTCATCAAAATAATGCCAGACAGTGGTGGTGCACGCCTTTAATCCCAGCACTTGGGAGGCAGAGGCAGGTGGATCTCTGTGAGTTCCAGGCCAGCCTGGTCTACAGAGTGCCAGGACAGGCACCAAAACAACACAGAGAAACCCTGTCTCAAAAAACAAACAAACAAACAAACAAAACCAGAAATCACATGACCAACACAATAGGCACAGGAAAAACATTCAGAAAGCCCGGTACTCTGTTAATAGTATTCATCAAGGGTGCTGGGGAATGACTCAGTTGCTAGTGTTTTCTGCAAAAACAAGCAGGTAAGAATTTGATCCCCAGCTCAATCATTTTGGGGAGGCAGAGACAGGAGGCTTGCTGGCCAGCTACTCTAACAGAATCTGCAAGCTACAGATAAATAAAGACAAATAAAATGGGTAGTGATTTTGGAAGCCACTAGATTTTAACCTCTAGCCTGTGCATATACACATACATATACACACAGAAAACAAAAATAGTATTTATCAAACTAAAAATAGGAAATTCCTCAAACAGCTGTATATCTTCTATGACTAAGAATACAACATGGAGGTCCTCTCTTACTATTTCTGTTTAACATTGTGCTGGAGATTCTGGCCAGGGAAATTTGACAAGAAGTAAAAGATCTACATTGTGAGGTTTAAAAGGCAGATAATATACTCTTGCGTATATAGAAAATCCTAAACAGTTCATTAGAAAGCTGTGAGGCTAATAATCCACAGGCTTATTAAGGTTGTACAACACAAGAAAACACAAAGACCTGTTGTTTGGGGCTGGAGTGATCGCTCAGTTGGTAAAGGGCCTCCCATAAAAGCCTGAGGACTTGATTTAAATCTGTCATCCACAAAAACACTGGGTGGATTGGTGGCCCGCCTATAACGCTGGCACTCCAAGGATGGAGACGGTGGAGATAAGGATGCCTGGAGTAAGCTTGCTAGCTAGACCAGTCAAATCTGGGAGTTCTAGGTTCAAGATACAAGGTGGAGAAGAGTCAGGGAAGCACCTGACGTCAGCCTCTGGTTTCTACATGTACACCACACACCAATGCATATCAAATTCCTGAACAAAACAGTTGAGAAGTCCTGTGCAGCATTTAGAGAGAAACTGTGATATATTATCTCTTTCCCCTGGTCCTTCACATGTCATGTTTATGTTTGTCTGTGGACACATCCATATAGGAATTATCCCACTCATATTTCTTCTCTGGTAGATAGCCATCTTTATAGGCTTCTTTAAAAGCTTTTATTATTTTTATTTTTGGTTTATCTTTCAAGTTTGTTTTCTTGGAGCTGGAGAGATGGCTCAGCGGTTAAGAGCACTGGCTGTTCTTGCAGAGGTCCTGAGTTCAATTCCCAGCAACCACATGGTGACTCACAGCCACCTATATAGTGCCCTCTTCTGGCATGTAGGCATGCATGCAGGCAGAACACTGTATATAGAATAAACAAATAAAATTTTTTAAGTTATTTTAAAATGTCTGTTTTGTTTTTTGATCGTTGTGTGTGAGGGCAAGCACACATGGACATCTGAGGAGAAACTCAGGTATAGGTCCTTGTGTTCACCCTGTTTGAGACAGGATGTCCTGTTTGTTGCTGCACAAACCAGCGTTGCTGGTCTTTAAGCATCCAGAGAGTCTCCTGTTTCCACCTCCCATCTCTCCACAGGAACACTGGCATTACAGATGTGCAGCTGGGTTATGTGGTGCTGGGGATCTGAACTCAGGTCTCTGTGCTTGCTCAGCAAGTGCTCTACCCACTGAACCATCCGCCTAGTCCCTAAAACTGTTGTTGAAGGACTTGTTCATCTTATAATTCATGTGTATTAGGAATAAAGAAATGGGGTTATTCAGAGATTTTATAATCCTAGAATTCACATTATCTTCCCTTTTCTCGGTTTAACTCAGTCTACTATAGTTTAGTTCAATTCCACAGCCAAGAATTCATCTTATCTCCCATTATCCCAGATTAGCTCGGTCCACTGGAATTCAGTTCCTTGACCATTTGGTGAGTACTTGCTGTGGTATGGGGCAAAGTGGAAACATGAAGATAGGTGACTGAATTACAGCCCTGTCCTCCAGGAATTTGTAATCTAATGGGAAATTCTTGAAAACCCCTAACCAAGGAGAAGAAAGGCCCTATGATCAGTGGGATTTGGGGAACAAGGAGAAAGAGGGTTTACTGTACCTGGGCTGGATGTGCCAGTCAGACCCAGATCAGAAACTGCCTTTAGCAGTTGATGGGCAATTGGCTGGGCCATTGACCCTTGCGGGGGCGGGGGGGGGGGGGTACGCATGGCTCCAGCTCACCTTAACATGCTCCACAGTGCCAGTTTAAGGGGTTTGCAGTCCAATGATCATTGTCACTGAATTCTGAGTTTAAAGAAAATCTAAAGGGATTGAAACAGTGAGATTTAAGAGACATCTAACTTGAAAGTCTGGTATTAACAACTCTAATGGAGTGCACTGTGGAAGCAGAAACTGCTGACGCCCTCAAGAGCTGAAGGGCTGGAAGCAGACCCTCAGCCAGACTTGGGCGTGGGGGGTGGGCCCTAAAGTCAGCCCTGTGAAGTTGAATTTGAAATTGGTTTCATGCCACAACAGAAGTGCAGGACAGAAGTGCAGCCAGCCATTATTTAACTGTTATCTCAACCCAATAAGAGCTGATGAAGTGAGAGTTTCCTGACGCCTGGTTCTCTCGTGTATAAAATAGACTTGTTCTCCATCTTTAGGTTTAGAGGTTAGCATGCCAGGAATTAATTAACTCTGTAGTCATGTGAGAGTAACAGTGGCCCTGAAATGAGGACAGGAGAAGGACACATTGCTGAAATGAGGACATGTCTCTAGAAGAAAGACACAAAAAGAACTAGTAGATAACGATGAAAGTGTTTGCATGGGGAAATGACAGAGGAGGGAAAAGATTCATTTGCAGAGAATGGCTCAGAACGCAGAAATGAAGAATGATCAAGGAAAATGGAAAACTGTACTCCGAAGGCGTGCCCAAACTGCACATTAAAATTTGCCCACATGATTCCCAGCTACTGCATTTCCATAAATACTTTATTAGATGATTTAACTCTCCCGCCCCGCGCGCCCCCCCACCCCCCACCCCCACCCAGACAAGGTTTCTTTGTGTAGCTGTAGCTTTGGTACCTGTCCCAGACCTCACTCTGTAGACTAGGCTGGCCTTGAACTCACAGAGATCCAGAGATCCACCTGGCTCTACCTCCCCAGTGCTGCCTGGCTGATTGAACTTTTTAATTGAGTTAGTAATTCTTTGCCCTAGCATATTTTCAGTTCTGCACTGAAAAGGTTCCTTTGATAATTTTAAAGAAAGGGGGAAAAAATCAGGTTGTGACAGTAACCGTCTTTGGTGAATTGAACACCATGGAATGATTTGAACTGCAGATTATTTTATAAACTCAAAGTGAAATGAAGAGAATATGATTGTTGCCACTATCGAAAGAGGGGGAAAAAAAAACTATTGAACTCGGTATCTTAACTTTAAGATATATGACTTTATACTTTGTCTTTACAGGGCTCAAACTAATCTTTTAAAAGATGAGTAATGAGGGAACAAGACAAGCACATAATACATTTAACTCAGCTAATCATCTTTATCTTGCACAGTTGGCTGGGGAACAGACCAGGGAATTGGCGGATTCGGAGAGGAGCCAGGGATTAAATCTCAGCTAATGAACCTTATTCGATCTGTAAGAACCGTGATGAGAGGTAAGAAGAAAATTGTGCAGGGCACTTTAAGGTACAGTTTTGTGGTAGGATTTAAGTAGCAGAGCTTGTGAGAGTGGGAACTATCGGGTTCTCATTTGTAGTGGGAACTCTTTGTTAACCTGGATTTACTGCTTGAAGGCTGCTGGTCTCTTTCTTACATTGCGTCTGATTTCTAGGAGATGGAATGTTACTAGTGACTTCCAGGTTGTAATGTAGAAATAAAGGTTCTGCGTTTGCCATTGTATTGGACAATGAAAGAGTGCAGACAGCTTGTATTTAAAAATAGAGGGGGAGCTGGAGAGATGGCTCAGAGGTTAAGAGCACTGGCTGCTCTTCCAGAGGTCCTGAGTTTGATTCCCAGCAACCACATGGTGGCTCACAACCATCTGTAATGAGATCTGGTGCCCTCTTCTGGCCTGCAGGCATACATGCAGGCAGAACACTGTCTACATAATAAATCAATAAATCTTTAAAAAAAAAATTGAGATTAGAGACTTTTCATGTCTTTACAGTAACTTTGGACTCATTGTTAATAAGTTTATTCTTGATGGAACTGCAGAACTGTCTTTGCACTGTATTTCTGCTCAAGTGTGCAGCCATGTGGATATGCCTGTTCCTCTGTGTTCCCAGAGCTGCACCAGCACCTCCAAAGATGCCTCTATGCATGTAGACATGCAGTGTGGTGGTCCACACCTATAATCTCATCCCTTGGGAGGCAAGGAAAGAAGGTTGTTGCAAGTTCCAGGCCAGCTTGGGGTACAGAGGGAAATGTGTTAGGTTTTTATGATAGTGTATTTTTCTATTATTACTATTTTTTAATATTTATTTTTCTCTTACTATTACAGTGTGATTATGATGGCATATTTTTAGATACTTCCATCCTCCTTGGAAGCTGCTTGCTACTGTTTAATTTTTTTCTTCTATTTTTTTTGTTGTTGCTTTTTTTATAATAACAAACTTTTTTTTCCCTTTCAGTGCCACTGATAATAGTAAACTCAATTACTATTGTATTGCTTTTGTTATTTGGCTGAACATTGGGAAACCAGAGACTCAGAAGAGATGCCCCGGAAGTTGCTCTTTCCATCGTGACTGGAATATTCATGTTTTAACAGGCTCATCTTGAAGCTGACAAAAAAATGTAAAGTTGACAATAAAACCAGTTTCTATTTATCTGATTTTTTTAAATGTTGCACTTGTAGTTTCAATACAAAAAGATGAGATCATCAGAGGCAGGAACGCTCCAGGATTGCACACACTTGTTATGGTTAAAAAAGGTAGAGGTTATTAAAGGGCTGATGCCTCTGCCTTGTTAGAGATACTGTTCTGCCTCACAACTCAGGGATGGACTTTTCTCCAAAGTTTTGGAATTCCTTGTCGTTTAGGTATGAATTAAGAGTAATTAACTTCCTATATAAACTTAAAGAGTTTTTTAAAGGAACAATTACATATAATTGACAAATTGGTAATTTTGGTAATTTATTTGAGCTCTTTGGTTAACTAGTCTACGTCATCTCTGCTATAAAGAAATGTATAGATAACTGCATGGGGCAGTACCCTGATTTCAGGGAGAATTCTAATTCTGTAAATCAGTTGTTTGGTAACTGTGGTTTTAAGTTCTTTTTATGCTGCTGTTGAGCTGAACAGTGAGACCAGAGTATATACGTATTTTCATTGGTAGAAAGTCTTCCCTTTCTACAACAATGATTTGGTTGATAAAATCAGTGTAACTGTTAGTTGGCAAAATCAGCCCATACAATCACAAAGTAAGCTGTTGGAGTAGCCCTGAAGTGTCCCCTGCTCCCAGGTCATATTTCCATTTCTTGGTGGAATAGCATGGTAAAGGTATGATTCTTGGATGCTCATTCTGTCTGTCAGTAGACCATTTATGCTAGATAATGTTTATTTTTTGTTGGTTTGTTTTTATGTCTTTTGTTAATGTTTTAGGCCAACTTTGTGAGGTTCTTTGCTCATCCAGTAATACTACAGTACAGTTTTATATGGGAAGATTTAAACTGTGCAACTATTGTGTGAAATGTTTCAGTTACAGTATTTTAAAGGGGTGAGATGGCATCTTTCTGTGTAGGAAAACTTTTATAAATAAAGTTGACTTTTCAACTCAAGCATTTGGTTTGTGCTTTAGTATAAACCTAGCACTATTAATTTGTTGATGTCTGTTTTGTTCTTTATTGCAAAATTGCTGAATAGAGATGTAATAAAATTAATATTCATAATTCATTTACTTCTTCAGTGAATTAACTGAATTGCTGACATAAATGAAGAGGATCCTCAACTTTTATGGCTTAAGTGACTTCTAAAACTGAAGCAGGTGCTGAAGACCTTCTGGTCATGTCTCAATTGGAGAGGGCTGATTTTTCATTTGGATGTAAGGATTGACAGCTGGACCATGAAAATGCCTTTGAATGCTTGGCTTCTATGAGGAACTAGCATATTTGGTATTAGAATGTTCCTCTAGCTTAAGAGTCAATAGGCCAGTCTTGGTGACTCACACCAAGTTTTATTTATTTATTTATTTAAAGATTTATTTATTATGTATACAGTATTCTGTCTGCATGTATACCTGCAGGCCAGAAGAGGATGCCAGATCTCATTACAAATGGTTGTAAGCCACCATGTGGGTGCTGGGATTGAACTCAGGACCTCTGGAAGAACAGTCAGTGCTCTTAACCTCTGAGCCATCTCTCCAGCCCCAAGTTTTATTTTTTTAAAACATTGAAGATGATTAAGTTCAAGTTTGAGCCTCTATTCAGATCTTTAAAAAGCGATCAATTCAGGGCATTCCTGTTTCTCTGTACTGAGTCATACAAAATTTTCAGAGACTTTGGTCCTAACCCCACTGTTCATGTAAGACATAACACACCTTTCTGTTGATTTAGTTTGGAATGTTGTTCAGGTTCACTCTACTCGGAGCCCAGCAAGACCAGCGTACTCGGTAGCAAAGCAGTTCTGAGAGCGTGAAGCACTGGCTCCAGAACATGTGCTTCTGGGACCATACTCATAATCTAGTTTTGACGTTGGCCAGGGGCCCTGATTTCCCTGGATGAGATTCAGAAACTGCAGTGTCTTTTTCTAGTCGACAATAGCCTGACATTCCCAATTCCCTCCCACATCCTCCTCCTTGTCCATTCTCAGGATTAACAGTATGTGATCTTCGTAGACTCCAAATGTTTTAGTAATTATGGTCCTCGTGTCTGGCCAATGTCTGTGCCTTCCTCTGTTTTCAAGGGTCTTGATACTACTCTAGACACTAAATCTACAACACAATTTTACTCAATACAGTGTAGTTCTCAGGCTTTGCTTACGAACTGCAGTCCCAGACTAGAAAGGAGCAGACCTATGATGCTCTGACAGGTAAAGCTCCACAAGGAGCTGATCTTTGACAGTGGTTGTTTCTGTAGGTGTTAGGCAGCAGTGATTGGCGCGGGCAGGCCTGTGGGAGGAGAATGAGAGGGCTGCAGACTTGGTGAGGGCCTCAGCGCCCTTAGTCCCCTTAGTGTTACAACTCTGGGGTCCGCCTACAAAGTCAAGATTCAAAAGTTGCTGACTGTGTTCGGCATCATAGCATCCAGGCAGTCCTATGTCTCAGCCCTTGGCAGTAACCAGTGTTCCAGCTTTTGTCTAGGCCTAGGCATTTGGAATTTCTTAGCTCTAAAGACTCGGCTGTTCTCATGAACTATCCCAGTGATCAAACCTACAGTTTATCTTCTCTGGCTCCTTACAGGCTTCTGTTACTTTTGGTCTGTCTTGGCATTCTGCCATTTTGCTCTTTGGTGCTGCCCTTCCCTTTTTTCTCGCTCTGGCCACTCTGGCTGTTTAGCCGCAGCTGGCTGCCCCTCTGACTCCACCGCGCCACCTGCGGAGCTGCATAAATGCCACTGTTACTCTCCTGCTTCTTTGTTGGCATTACCACCTCACCCTACAGGAAGGAAGGAAGGAAGGAAGGAGGGAGGGAGGAAAGGAAAGGAAGGAAGGAAAGAGTGAGGGAAGGAAGGTTGGAAGGAAGGAAGGAAGGTTGTTCAAGAGAAGCTTTCATGACACCTCACGTTGCAGTACTAGGAGAGGCGGCACAGGAGTCTCCCTGTTGACGCAGTGAACCTAGACGCTTCCTCCCAGAGCCGAGAAGGGATGTTGGGACCAGTCACAGCTCTGCCCCTTACTACCAGTTTACAGCCACTGGGGCTTGTGGTTGAGGTCAGTCACACTCATAACTGTTGCACCAGGCTTGTTAACAAAAGGCCTGGTACAAACTCATCTAGGCCTGCCTCGGGGTGCACCTTCAGAAGGTAGGGTATTCAGGCATGTCGGGGTGTTGTATTCCTCAAGGTTCTCTAGAGTGGCTTATACCCTACTGGCTGACGGCTGTGGTCCAGCTAGTTCAACAATGGCCATCTATCAATGGACAGTCCGAGAATCCAGTAGTGGTTCACTCCACAAGGCTGGATGTCTCGGCTTGTCTTTAGTACATGCCAGATTTCCAAAGCAGGCTCTAATGCCAGTGTAGGAATGGACTTGCCAGCAAGAGCGGGCAGACAAAAAGAACTACCTTCCTTCTGTGTCTATATAGGCTGCCAGCAGAAATGTGGCCCAGGTTAAAAGTGGATCTTCCTACCTCAAAAGATCAGGATTAAAGGTGGGTCTTCCCATTTCAAATGATTTAATTAAGAAAAAAGTTTCTCCAGTATGGGCTACATCAAGAGTTCCAGAACAGCCAGTGCTACACAGAGAAACCCTGTCTCAAAAAACTGAAAAGAGCCGGGCGGTGGTGGCGCACGCCTTTAATCCCAGCACTCGGGAGGCAGAGCCAGGCGGATCTCTGCGAGTTCGAGGCCAGCCTGGGCTACCAAGTGAGTTCCAGGAGAGGCGCAAAGCTACACAGAGAAACCCTGTCTCGAAAAAACCGAAAAAAAAAAAGATGGAAGAATAAAAATAAAATATCCAAAATTTTAAATAGTTAC